CCCGAAATCTGTTCAAGGGATGTTCCACAGATTGGGTTATCGTTGCAGAGCAGCTAGACGGAAGCCCTTATTAAGACCTGCCAACATCGTCAGACGAAAGAAGTGAGCAAGTGGTATGATGACCAAGCCTCTGGACATTTGGAAGACCATATTGTTCTCAGACGAATCAAGATTCGCTCAATTTTCGGACAGTTGAAGGATACGGGTCTGAAGAATGCCTCACCGATGAGTTTTGGCTCAACAGATTGCAGCCAACTGTGAAGCATGGTGGTTTCAGCATGATGGTTTGGGGAGCTGTTTGGGTTGGTGGGATATCGAGCTTAGTGGAGTGCGTTGGCAACATGAATTTTGCGAAATACGTCGAAATATTGGAGGAAGGACTCTTGCCACTTTATTCCTCAGGTTTCGTGGACAAGAACACAACATTGTTCCAGGAAGATGGAGCACCGCATCACACTGCTAGAAACACCCAAAAGTGGCAGGAAGAAAATTGTATCCAGAAGTTACCCTGGCCGAGCCAATCTCCTGACATAAACCCCATCGAAAACCTCTGGGCCATACTCGACCGGCAAGTCAAGAAAAAACCGACTTCGAAGAGCAATCTACTCCAAGTTTTGAAGCAAGAGTGGGCGAAAATCCCACAATCGAAAATTGACGAGATGATTCTCACGATGCCCCAAAGGATCAACGAACTCCACGAAGCGAAAGGAAGATCTACTAGATATTAATTAAATTATAAATCTATCAATTCATGTGAATATGACTGAAAAACTTCATTTTTTCTGAAAAGGTGGTGTCTATTTACTTGTGACCATGCTGTGTATGTAAGTTTTTTATAGGAACATCAGATTTCTGTAAAAAACCTAACTTCAAGGGCTAATGATAACATCATTTGTGCTAGAATTATGATATTTTTTAAATTACTACTAGTTATTACAACTAAACAATGACATCATGCACTGCCCAGAAACGCACAGAGTGGACTTTGGTTTAAATTGACATTAATGATAAAGTAGTTATAGGTTGACTGAAACAAGAAGAAGAAAGATGAACAATTTGATGTGTTGGTCACACTGGTAGGAATGAAGGATTTTGATATAATGGGAATAACTGAAACATGGTTAAACTTAGATGATTTTGATGATAGAAACTTCCTTGAAATACAGGGTTACAGGCTATTTAATAGGGATAGAGTACTAAAGAGGTGGGGAGGAGTGGCTTTATATGTAAAATGTGAGTTACATCTTGTTGAAGTGAGGATATCAAAGACAATGAATCCATTTGGGTTTCTGTTAGTGGATATCTAGAGAAAAGACTTTTATTGGGAATTTGTTACAGACCAACAGATGATAGTGATGAAATTAAGATTTCAGCTTTTAGTGAGGTCATAATTATGGGTGATTTTAATTTCTGACATGTAGAGTGGGAAATTCTAGAGTCAAACCATGAAGGACAAAGGTTTTTCAAAAGTCTTCAGGGTGGCTTTCTTCACCAGTTAGTCAAGGAATCAACTAGAAGAAATGCTATTTTAGGCTTATTGTTAACAGAAGTGATCGAGAGGGTTGAAATTGGGGAACGTTTGGGTGCAAGTGTTCATTGCTTTATTAGGTTCGATGTTTTGCTGCATTTGGAGATAAGGTACAATTATATTGTTCCGTCTCTGGTCGTTTGTTAATTTCTCGTAAAAATTCTTTCCAAAGAACTTAAGCAATACAAGTCCTTTCTTAAATAAA